ATGTCTTATTGAAATTCGAATAGTTGACATTATTTAGTGTGAATTTGAGTGTATATTTGTGAGGTTAACTATTTGTAATTAAGAAACAGACAAAACTGGCGGCGTACGTAGTTTTCGAGAATGTAACAGAATTTATGAAGGAATCCATCAAATTAATGCCGTTAACACAGGCGTTCGTTTTGGATGAGGGCGCCATATATATTAAGGCTACATCGTTACCCACATTCGAGTGAAATTTCTTGAAGGAAAATAAGAAGAAGTTGTCTCTCGATCTTAGCATAAGCATATCCTGCATTCGTTAACGATTTTGATGCATATGGTACATAGGCCTATCCATGGTCTATCACCTTGTATTAGAACTGTAACAAGATCTGACTGCGAGTCATCACATGAAATTGTTATTGGTTCATCAAGACTATTATACACAAAAAATTTGACAAAAATTTTAAATTCTGTTCCTTACACCTGGTCAACACTACCTCCAGTCGTTGATTGTGTATTGCTATTGTTGGAGCATATATTAAAATGTCATCCATATTATCCACATCATCAAGATCACACAACATCTCACTCATGGTTCGATGGTAGATTTCTGGAGCTGATTAAATTCCCATAGGCAAACGAAGATACTCATACATAGGTGTATTAAAAGATGTTATTTGTTGACTTTCTTCAGTTAAAGCTATTTGGAAATAACCCATATTAGAATCAAGTACCGTGAACAGTTTAGATTTATTTGTTCTGCTTGTGACTTCTTCTATGGGCTTTCATTGGATGCAATTCACGTTGAAGAGCTTTAATAAGGTCTCCACGATCAATGGTACATCTTTTTTGGTACCGTTAGACTTTTTATTTACCGCATGCAAAGCACTACACCAATGTGTTGGTTCTCCTACTGGTACTTTCTTTTTAATGTCATAGTCTCAAGTTCGTCAACTTTAGCTTTAGCTGGTTCACGTAATGCAGGAGGCTTTGTTCCAGGGGGTGGGCAACTGAATAATGAATATTCACCGCGAATTTTACCTACTCCTAGAAAAACATTACGATATTTATCATATACCTCTCTTGCGCTCTGTTCCCTTTGTTTTCTATCAATACTAATACAATTAATTCTCCGAACTAAATTAAGATTAACATTATCAGATTCTGACAAAATATTAGGAACATTTGAACCTGGAATAATTTCACATCTAATAAAATACATAATACCTGTATGATTAATAGGTAAATTAATATAACCCAATGTCTTAACAGGTGTAAACGGTGGTTTGTTTAGGACATGTTTAATTATTTTTTATTTATGATTTAATTCTACATGTTTTTTTTGCTGAATTATGGTTTAATTCTACTTAGATTTCATTTCTGTTTGCTGAATTATCGTTTTTGTTTACTATTTTTGATATCCAGTAAACAAAAATATTAATTCAGCAAACAAAAATGAAAAATAAGTAGAATTAAATCATAATTCAGCAAACAAAAAAAGAAAATATTAAAGAAAAATTCAGAAAACAAAAATGAAAAATAAGTAGATTTAAATCATAATAGTAGTAATAGAGCTTTCAGATTGTAAGCACTCATGTATTTATTTCCAATTCATTCCATTTGCATACATATCAGTGCCTACAATCTGAGAGCTCTCACACCCATGATATGAAATATCTACTCTACAAATCATACATAGAAAAAAACCTCGTTTTATTTTTAAATTAACCCATTTAAAAATAGGATGAGTTTAATTTTAAAACACGAACAACACAAATTCGAAACTACAGATTATTCAGGCGACGGTTTCTTTTCAGCACTATCTTCTCTAATTCCAAAAGAAGCTAGCTTTGTTTCAAACAACAAATCACTTATTTGTGATAAAGTCTGACAAATTAAAAGAATTGCAGCAAAAAAGAGAACTTTGAAAAAGGAGAATAGAACAACAAGCTTTAGAAAAAAATATTTTATTTTAAGTTATAGGCACAGGGGTCTGTTTCTATCAATAGTCGACTCTATCCATATAGTATATATATGAGAAGGTGGCTAACGCTCGTCACGACCATCTCCGCTTCAGACGATTTTCTACCATTTACCGTAATGAAATATAATCCCAAACTTATTTGAATCGTTTCATTGAATATTTTCCCTTCACACAAGACCTTGGTGTTCCTCTTCATACTAATCTAACTATTGTTCAATAAAAATACTACAAAAATTTATACCCATCGTTTCATACGAAACTTCGCATCTTGCCTAGCTCCGTATAGAAGCAGATCTAGACACGAACCTAATCACAAGCCATCTTGTCCAAGGCTACAGCTTGAATGATAAAATATGCATCAAATTAAATATTATAACGTCTGAATGATATCAATAAATTCTCAAATGCTCAAAATATTCCCAATTTTAACCGTGTGTATTTACTGAAGAAGTTGCAATACCGAACTATTTTTAAGAGTGGAAGCGTATCTGAGTTACGAAACTAGAAACCGGAAAGACGATTAGGAGGATTTTTAAAGACAGTTCGCACCATAATGAGTTATTTCGTCCTCATTAACATTACTGTGCTTACATTTTTATGTTTTTTCACTTAGTATTTATCAAATAAAATTCATTCTTTTCATATGTGTCTTTTAAAAACACCATGTTTAATTAAGTTTTACAGTCTGTTTTACTGATTTACTTCCCTTAATTTTATTGATCGCTCGATTTTGGCAGTAGTTTCGTTGCAAATACAACAGGCTGGATTAATTGGTTTGAGCCGTGTGGAATTCATCTTGAATCGTCTACTTGCGGTTTGTTTACATTAAGTCTAAGTCGTTTCGCCGTGCGTAGTCTTCGGTGCTCTTCGGCTGTGAAAAGATGCACCCGTCGTTTCGTCTCACTTCCGGTACTAATGTCTACGCGTGAACTATTTTAAACATGGCTGGTCAATAGGTCAGGGTAATATCTCCGATAGGTAGAATTTCTCTGTTGATCAGGATGCCATCGTTTCAATGTATCTACTTCCAGTTGGTGGGTTTCAGGGCAGAATGTTATCTATTTTGTACAGAAAATGATGCTGTAAAATTACTGTGTTGCTATTTTCATTACTTATATATTTTTAAAGACTGGAAATCACCAATATAACTACTTTTTTCTTAGTAATTAAATAAATAGTCAGTAACCATGCTTTTACTTTCACTTTGGTTTTTACTCGACAGGTAATTATAGCTGACCAATCGTATTGACCGAAATATATTTACCGTCAAATCAACCGGAAGTAGATATTTAGTATTTTTATTGAACAATAGTTAGATTAGCATGAAGGGGAACACTGGGGGAGATCTAAAATACGTCTTGTGTGAAGGGACAATATTCAATGAAACGTTTCATATGAGGATGGGATTATGTTTTATTACGGTAAATGGTAGAAAATCGTCTGAAGCGGAGGTTGTCGTGACGAGCGTTAGCCGCCTTTTCATATATATACTATCATAGAGAGATTCAACTATTGATAGAAACAGATGCCCGTGGTTATTGGATAAAAATGTCTGTAAATAATTGCTCAAAGTCCTAAAACTTATTTTGGTTCAGATATACAATAATCATTAGGTTCTCTTCCTGGTTTTTCATGGGCAACGTATTCTGGAAAAAACATCTTCCAGAGTGTAATAATTATACTGGATAAGGTTCGATCCGCGATTAGAAAAAACCGATAAACCCAAACCAGGTGAAGAACTTTGTCAATAGAGTTGATGTTGCTTCACTTAAACATGATATTTTATACAGAAATAAAGACATAAAGTTTAGACACGAAGCAGACAAACAAATTATAAACGAACTTGAAAATATTCCAATTCCAAGAGAAAATGGAAAGAGCTCTGATTATAAAACTGATGAAATTGGGTATGGTATCATCAGATGAAATTCATAAAGAATTTAGAAAACTAGCATCTTTTTAAAAGTTAAAGTATTTGAAAAGGATTTACATAAAGTTTAACAATTATAGATTTGTATACAAGATATGCTTGGGTTATTCCTTTGAAAAACAAAGGAGTTTTATAACAGAAACGTCAAATCACTTGGGATTGAAAATTACAGTGCTCATAATAAGGGTAAGGCTTTAGAAATAGTAAGATGTAACAGAAAGCTTAAATCAAAACTGTTTAAAAATTTCACAGAACTAAAGTCTCAAAAATGATTAAAGATTGTACCCACTGCAGTATCAAAATAAATCGCGCAGGAGGCTTGAATGATTTTCTTAATGACGTTATTCCATGAACATTTTCTTTAGAGTTTGAAAGTCCAATGTTAGAAAGATAAATGTCAACAGTTATTTCAGTTTTATAATCAGAACACTATAGTCAAAACTGTGCCACCAAACATGGTTATGGGCGGGCGGATGTGGTGGTGAGTGGATGGGATGAATAGTTTGATGTGTTAAAAGTGTTACATGCAAAGGATACATAAAGTTTACAGCGTTGGTAACAGAAAATAACAAATGATTTAAACAATACAATTTTAATTAATTTGAAACTATTAAGTAATGCAGACAGTTCTGTCATTAATAACTAAAGATTCTAATCAGATCTATGATTCACATCCATAACACATATCCTACAAAAGGCAGTTGGCTGGAGTTGTCACAAATCCTATATTCAAAATCCACCATTCTTCTACCTCAAATCCCACAGAATTACTGCACAGTAAAAACTACTCAATCACTTCCTTCAGATTAAACCAACACATCTTCACAAGTGAACTGCCATCTTCAACTGAACTTATTCAACAAAAGCATGCTCCAGCCACCTGCCTTGAAGTAAATAATGACTGGGCAGTATCAACTAATAACTAAATATATTAATACAATGTGTAATTTATTACAATATCTGAAATAGAGGGTCATAACACCCTCCCCCTTAAAGAAAAGAAAATTTGAATGTAAAGTGAGAATTTTCTTCAACTAAATTAACTACAGCAAAAATCTGAAATATTAATCCAATAATAATAACATTACTTATAAATATAAATCCTTAAGTTCTAGATAAGGCATCAGCTATGATGTTGTCTAATATGTTAACAATGCTAAATTCTTTCAAAGACAGACTCCATCTCATGAGTCTTTGGTTTTTGTTTTTCATTTTATGAAGGAAAACTAATGGATTATGATCTGTAAATACCTCAATAGGAAAAGCAGTAGTACCTAAATATAACTCACATTTTTGTTAAGCAAGCAAACGAGCTAATGTCTCCTTTTCAATAGTGGAGTAATTTTAGATGCTTGTCAAACTTTTTTGAAAAATAACAAACAGGATGAACGATGCCATAAGCATCCCCTTGGAGTAAAACATCCCCAGCACCAATATCACTTGCATCTACGTGTAATTAAAAAGCTCTGTCAAATTGTGGTGCTTGTAAAACAGGATAACGCATAAGCATGGCCTTAATTTTGCTAAATGCTATTTCACAGCTATTATCCCAAATGAATTTAGCTCTTTTACTTAATAAATTTGTCAAAGGAGCAACAACATCAGAGAAATTGCGACAAAATTTGCGGTAATAACCTGCCATACCTAAAAATCTCATGATGTCCTTTTTGTTTTGAGGAACAGTAAAGTTAGCAATGGCTTCACACTTGGCCTTTAATGCATGTACCTGACCCTGGCCTATCACATGTCCTAAAAATTCAACAGGAGCTTTCGCAAATTCACACTTGGCAAGATTGATTGTCAAATTAGCATGAATAATCTTTTGGAAGAAATTTCGGATCCGTTCTAAATGTTCGTCCCATTCCATAGAATGCACAACTACGTCATCTGTATAAGTTTCGACACCATCAAGTTGTGCAGTTAAATTGTTGATTATCCTTTGAAAGGTTGCGGGTGCATTCTTTAAACCGAACGGCATCACTTTATATTGATATAGTCCCTTTGGGGCTAGAAAGGCAGAATTTTCTTTGCCCTCTCTGTGAGTGACATGTCCCAATAGCATTTCAATAAGTCAAATTTACTGACATATCTTGCACTGCCAACTTGGTCGATACAGTCATCTATACGAGGTATGGGGTAAGAGTTGTATTACCCATAAATGTAATACCCACTATAATTGTAATACCCACCATAAATGTAATAGTCATCAACCATAAATGTAATAACCAACCCCACCATAAATGTAATAATATTTAACCATAAATGTAATAACCAAAACCCACCATAAATGTAATACCCATCAACCATAAAGGTAATGAACAACGGTGCAGTTAGAAAATATAGTAATTAAGAAGAGGCCGCGGAGGCCCCCATGAATTATCTTCATACGATAATGTCTTGAATCTGAAAATCGAGTGGCCGAAATCCGAGGAGTTTTGGTATGGGGGTAAGGGTGGAGGTGAGATTTTTCGGACTACGGGCCCAACCACTTCCGGAGACGCTCCGCGGCCCTTGTTATGTCAGCATTGATTGAACTGCAAAGTCAAGGGGCACTTGAGCACTTTACCCTTAGCACAGTTTGTGATTGGCCACTACGCAGAAAACGAGGGATCGCACTATGTTTGCCTTCGGCAAATATCTGGCGCCAATGATCAAGCGGGCGTGGTACAAAACAGTGACGATCAAGAGGGCGCGGCACAAGACAGTGACAATCAAGAAAGTACGGTACAAGACAGTGACGATCCAAAGGGCGCGGCACAAGACAGTGACAATCAAGAGGGCGTTGTACAAAACAGTGACAATCAAGAGGGCGTGGAACAAGGCGATGGCGATCAAGAGGGCGTGGCGCAAGACGGTGACGATCCAGAGGGTGTGGTACAAGGCGGTGATTATCAAGAGGATGTGATGCAAGACAGTGACGACCAAGAGGGCGTGGTACAAGACAGTGATGCTCAAAAGGGCGTGGCACAAGGCGGTGGCGATCCAGAGGGTGTGGTACAAGGCGGTGACTATCAAGAGGATGTGATACAAGACAGTGACGACCTAGAGGGCGTGGTACAAGACAGTGACGCTCAAAAGGGCGTGGCACAAGGCGGTGGCGATCAAGAGGGCGTGGTACAAGGCGGTGACAATCAAGAAAGTGTGGTACAAGGCAGTGACGATCAAGAGGGCGTGGTACAAGACAGTGACAATCAAGAAGGCGTGGTACAAAACAGTGACAACCAAGAGGGCGTGGAACAAGGCGATGGCGATCAAGAGGGCGTGGTACAAGACGGATAAAGATAAGGTGGATAAAAACACTTTACAAAAACATTACATGTTCAGTTATGAATAATGGTATAACTACAAGATATTTTTATATTAGTAGAGGAGTAAGACAAGGTGACCCCATGAGCTCTAATCTTTTTAATCTAGTAATAGAATTTTTACTTTTTAATATCAGAAATAATCATAAAATACAGGGCATTAATTTTGGCAATAAATCTTTGAAGTGTATAGCCTTTGCGGATGATTTAACCTGCTTCATAGGGGAATGTAAGTCAGCAAGACATATTTTTTCTTTATTGGAACTTTTTAGCAAAATATCTGGTTTGTCCATCAACATTAATAAAACTGAAACTTTGAATCTGAACTTACCAAGATGTGAATTTGAGAAATGTTTAGAATTACTTGGTTTGAAGTTATCTTTAGAACCAATTAAAATTTTAGGTATATTTTTCACACTAAATGAAAATGAATTTGAATTTTTTAACCATACTCTGAAAATGAAGGTTATAAAATTATTTAATGAAAAAGTATATCATTTTCTATGGAAAGGACCTGATAAATTAAAAAGAAATACTATTACTCAAAATTTAAAGAATGGTGGGTTAAATATGATTGATATTAATGAGTTCTTAATGTGTCAAAGTCGTTTCTGGATAAAAAAAATTATCTTTAATCCAACATCTACATGGTTAATACCATATAATTACATTTTAAATGCTTATGGGGGAAATATCCTCCCTTTTTGTAACTTTTGTAAAGTTAATAGAATTAACAATCCCTTTTACAGATCCTTATACAATAATTGGTATGACATTTTCACAGTACATATAGATAAACAATACTATATTTTATGAACAACTTTATAAAAAAGACATAATCCAGGTTTGTCAGTTAGAAAACCCTCATAATTTAAATCCTCAAGAAAACCTTGATATACAAGGCATTAAAAGTGCTTTAGAGCACAAATCTTTCACAAAGGTTCAAAATGATAATACAAATAAATTCAAATGGAAAAGCTGCATTGATATTATTTTTCATAAATGTTACAATAAAGATTTTAGAACAATAAAACCTAAGGATATATATAATTTCTTCATCTACAAACATTAAACCATTGGCCTTTAATAAATGGGAATATTTCTTAGAAAAAAAAATTTTTTTCTTTGATTTTTAAAATATATAATATATTACACACTAATGATATTGATATAAGAATACATTCAGAAGAATATCACTTGGGATACCCAAGTATAGAAATGTTTAAAGACAAGTATGAATGCTTATTTGTAAATCATCTTATCTATTTGACTAAATACTATATTTATAAATGCAAACTCAATTCAAACATTCCATCAAACACAGAATATCTTAATTATATTAAAAACATCATGAACATTGAAAAAAACTTTAACAGCAAATTATATCAACAAGAATGGAATACCTACAAAATATTAGTATAAATTTATTTTAAGTCTATAGTTCTCAACCGAAGTCCTCTCACATTTACATCATAAAAACCTTATATTATCTTATAGTTAATAATTATTGAACATGCACTCATTTGGCATATAAGAAAACCAGAATAAAATAATAAAAGTAATATTTAAGATAAGTAATTAAAAAAGATAACAAAACAACAAACCATACATTTTTCAAGAAATATATATTTAAATTAAGAACCTTCATGTACATGTAAGCATTATAAGTTGTTTCCTATATTTTAACTTCTGTCATTCTGTATTTAAACATTATGCAACTTTGTTTACTTTTATATGTTATATGTGTGAATGTATTTTTTTTTTTGTTGTGTGTTGGTTCCCGAGGCCTATCGGCAAAAGTTTAGACAATCAATTAAAAAATTGATGAAACATATGTTGAGTTTGCTAGAGAGAAAGAAATACTTTTTGATAGATGGTGCTCTGCTAAAGACGTAGGCATTGATTTTTCAGAAATTAATACAGTTAATTTTGCTTGAAGATTTTAAGAATTGTGTTAGTGTTGAAATTCGAACTTATCTGGATGAACAAAAGGTTTATTATTTAAATGAAGCGGCCAGTTTTGCTGATGATTATTCATAAACACATAAATACCTGATAAAGTAGCTTCTTCTGTACCTAAGACCCAATCTGTTGATAAGTTAGTTCAATCAAATTCTCAGAAATCTGATTCAAGTGATAGAAAACCTGACTATTCATCCAGTCAAAGATATAAAATATTACTATCTAGTATAATTTGTAATTACTATCTGAATGTGTAAAGCATAAGCGCAAAAATGAAACGTTGTCGCCCCATGCTTTTGTTAATAATATTAAAGTTTGCCAGTCTGCTGAGAAAAGTTTGTCATGTTCCAAGGCTACAGTTAGAGACGAATTTATGCCTTTTATTTCTAAAGGATTTGTTTCACTAAATAGTGAATGTTTCTAAATTTCGAAATAGAAAAAGTTTGTGATCCTGCCAGAGAAAATTTAAGAGCTACTCAAACTAAAATGAAGGAATGTTTTGATAGAACATCTCAATCTAGAGCATTTAGCACTGGTGATAGAGTTTTATTATTGTTGCCTATCCTTGGTGAACCTCTGAGAGCTCGTTATTCTGGCCCTTCTTATGATCGAAAAAATAGTTAGTGAGACAGGGTTATATGTTCTTTTCTTTTGGGGAAATGGAATTAATCCAGCACTAGGTAATGCTGGTTTATGTAGGAGAGAAATAAAGACTTGTTGGAGGAAATATATTTTTATTTTTATTGCCTTTATCATTTTTTTACGCCCACATGAAATGGGAGGCGTATAATTATTGCCGTTACCCATGTCCGTCCGTTCGTCCGTCGGTCCGTGGGTCCACAATTGCTCGTAAACACTCTACAAGACATAATTCTTGGCGGATTTTGACAAAACTTGGTATGAGTGTTCCGAATCACCCAAGGATGAACCCTATTGAAAATCAGAAGAATCGAAAAATATTTAGTTATTGCCCTTGTTCTTGAAAACGCGTTA